CCGTAGACATTGAATCTACCTTGCAAAGATCCTAGGTAAAGCTTAGGATTTCTCTTTAAAAATAGACAGATTCATTCATGTGGCCAATCGCACCTAAACAAAAAAGATTGGTGGTGACTCATAAAATAATATCCAACGATAGGTCCATGAATCTATGCGTTATGACAATAGGCTTGAGTACACAGAACATAGACATGAAAATACAGAAAACAGAAGTAAAAAAAAATGTTTAGGAGAGCTAGAAGCAATCATAGAATTTTTAAGATTTTTCTCAGAATTTTTAGCATTTTTTTCTAGAAATTTTTTGAAAATTTTTCAGATTTCGGTGAAATTTTTCGATGAACTTGAAGTTTTTGATGACTTTTCGAAGCAATTTTCCAGTTTCCTTTGAAAATTTAACCGAAATCTTCAACTTTAGAGAGAGAATAAGAGAAAAAGAGAAAGAAGAGAGAGAAGGGAAGAAAAAGAATCTGCAAAAAGAAGGATTTTGGCTTTTATATAGGTATGAAACGGCGTTGTTTTGTAGATTAAAAAGGGACCAGGATCCGCGCGTTTTCTAGCCAGCGACCTGACCCGAGTGTCAGCCTGTTTTTGACCTGCACTTGACCCGCTTACCTGTTAATCCTTGGAACCGAGTTGAGCCGCACCAAATCCCTCGAGCTGAGCCATTCAATGTTTTTTTTAGGTATTTTATTTATTTGTTTATTTATGTATTATTTATTTTTAAGAATATTTTTTGCATGTTTTAATTTAATAAAAACAAAATAAAAAATAAAAATTTTCAAAAAAAATATTTTTAAGGAAAAGTTGAAAGTATCAATTTTTCTTGAAAATAAAATTAAAAAAAAAACATTTTGAGAAAAAGTTGAAAGTACCAATTTTTCTTAAAAATAAAATTTTAAAAAATATATTTTTAAGAAAAAGTTAAAAGTATCAATTTTTCTTATATAAAAGCATAGGTTTTTGTTTGATAAAACACAAAAGAGACCTATATCAAAATTATCCCTTTTTCCTTTTGTCTTTTTAGAAAATTTTTAATGTTAAATGATCCGATGATGGAGCTTTTGCAATTGAAATAATAGTTTCCTTGTATATTCTTGATATGAGAGAATTTTTTTAATTTTTTGTCAAAAGTATTGAAGTCAATTGAGGATAATTTTTAATAATTAATTATTTTATAATTTTTAAGGCTTATTGGATAACACGAATTCGAGCTAGTACCATCTTTCGATGGGCGTTGTGAGGGTGTTATAACTTTTCTCACACGTAATCGTACTCTCAAACCTAGTTCTGATTTTACAGACATTAAATTTACCTTTTAGAGATACCTAAGTCGAACTTAGGATTCTCTTTAAAAGGGATAGGTTCAGTTAGGAGGGCAATCGTACATAAACAAAAAAGATTAGTGGCGACTCTTTAAGTCAACGTTTAGCGATAGATTTTCGGATCTATATATTATGACATATACATATAAATATACACACACACACATATATATATATATATATATATATATATATGCTAGATAAATTCTTCACACAAATCCTTGATACATCAATTTGAACAAATAGTAGAAAATTACACTGAAATTTATAACTGTGCAAAAATTGATCATATGCCAGACAGATTAAACCTATACAAAATTACAATTTAAGAGCAGCAAAAGCATCATCAACCCACTTTATTTCATGGACCGAAACTTTATTACTGGTTTTCGCCGGCATCGATGAGCCAATAAAAGATTGCAGTGCGGACTTGACGTTGTTCATACGCTTACGGTGACGAATCCTCCTCAAAACCACTTCTTTATCCAGGGTTTGCTTGGAATGACTTGGCTTTATGTAGAGATGGCTAGTCACAGAATCCATTTTCTCTTGCTCTTCTTGATCATCGCCAGCGCAGTTGTTATTGTCGACCTTGATGACGATGTTCTTCTCAGGTTGAGAAGGAGGCATTTTTGAAGCTTAAATTGTGGGAAAGTAACGTGTAGATTAGAGAGAATTGATGCTCAACAGTTAACAGGAGTGTCTAAGAGAGAAACGGGTGTAAGAGCAAGGGAATTGGGCAAGAGGAGTATTTATAGAGCAGAAAGATTTGAGAATTTGTTAATTGATTCATTTGGTCGGTTTGGTGGGTTCGAGGTGCTCTTGGGAAATGTTCTGCAATTGGATAGCAGAATCCATTGTTTTTGAGGTGGTCGGTTTCAAGCTTCTAGCTGAAAATAGTAGTTTATGATGTTATTTTCATGTCAGAAATCTGGGTTTTGGCCATGTCATGTTAAGATGAACTTCACTTGGATTTGGTTGGGTCTTCTGGGAATCATTGCCATGTGCATCGTGCTCTTTTATTTAAATCAACAACAAAGCTCCATAACCAAAGAATCAGATTCCAATAATAATGCCTTGATTATGTAATTAAAGAATTACAGTAATTAGCCAATTGCTGAAGTTCAAACTTATAACAAAAGTATTAATCTAAAATATGAGCATCAATAAACGGGATTATTCTTTGGGGGCATGATGCTGGTCACTAGTCGATTTTAGCTTAACAAAAACTGAGCTTATATAACGCAATTGACTTTTGGATTGGGTCCTATTATCTGGATTGTGTTGGCCTTCTTTGGGTTTAGACCAACCCACTCTAGGTGAGCTTTGCTGTTGTGAAAAGTGATGCAGTAGGAAGAAGTTCGGACAGGCTTGGCCCAGAAACCAGGGGTGTTTCCAACAAATAGACATTTCTGTTCATCAGCCAAGGCCCAACAGCCATATGCGTAAAAAGAAGAACTCTATTCCATCATGAATGGCCATGTCACCTAAAAAGGGTAATGAAATAATAGTTAGGCTCTCTGCCATTTACACTTCGAAGCTTTTGCCTAGTGCCGGACAAGTGGCCATGTAGCATATTTAGGGGTTCCAGGAGAAACGGTCAAGGTGTAAATGACAATCAAACGACCATACTTCTGTCCATTGTACGTGGCAATTGTACAGTTGATCTTGAGATTCGCATCACACCTGTCACGAATCAATTGGATTTTTTCTTTCTTCGTCATTTTTTATTGGTTTCTTACTTTTTTGCTTTTCTTCATCACTTTAGGCAAAAACTGCAATAGACTGTGTTCCTGTTCTTTTGAGCATATTGGTGCGAGGGATTTTAGTTTAAAGCAAGCAAGTGTTTTACGATGTTATTTTTGACATACGATGGTTAATATTTTCGTTAAAGAAAATCTTTGTCTGATTTTTAGTGTTCAATCGGAAGTTGGAAAAGGACACTTGAAAGCTGAAACATTTAACCAAAAAGTGGGAAAGTACATTAATTCACTGCCTCAAATATTTTTCCACTTATTTTGCTATGGTACACAATGAAATTCTCTCCTTGAATCATTTTTCAACAGGAGCTACTATTTGTTTATCTCAGTTTAAGTTAATTAGTACAAATAAACGAAAGGGCCGATTTGATTGATAGTCATTTTCTCTAATATCCAACTGAACCCTGAGGTGTGGCTTAGCCCCCCAACATTTGGGGCAAAGCTTTCCCTTCTTCCGTTGTTTGTGAACACCATATTTGTGGTGTCGTTAATCCATCATCGAAATCAAATACTGGTGCCCTTAGACTTCATGCACCAGCAGAAAACTGGAAGCAGATCCTCAATGTAACATATCTTGGCGGGCAAAATAACATGTTTATAAAAAATGAGAATTTCAATAAGATTAGATATGAGATAAAAACATTAAAAAATCGAGCTGTAAAATTCTACGAATAAATAATTTATTGTACTAAAAGAGATTAAAAATATTTTGAATGTATATGCTTGAATGTTGAATGTGTAAATATTTTACGAAAATAATGGAGTATTTGTAAATAGTTGAGTACTCTGATGTTTGATTTGAATTTGGTAAGCATTTGCTTGATTTGAGATTGATTATTTGATTTATACTACAACTGGGATTGATTTTGAAATGCTGAGTGAATTGTTGAATTGTTGATATGCTTGTAATACTCTAATTATCTATAATTTAACTTTAGCAGGGGCATACAGGGCTTGCACTTTAGTTTTGCCTCTGAATTGTATATTCAAAAATGGAAAAATGGAATCAGTGTAAATTATTGCATTTTCCCCATTTCCTGCTTCACTCAGTCAAATCACAGTATCATCTTTTTTTTTTTTTGCCTTCAAAAATTTACTTTTCCCTCTTAGATAATTGATGCCATTATCATAACCAAAGGGAGGAAATAAAGGGGAGAAAGTACTCCAATTATTTTTCATGGCCTCATTACTCAATATGAAGAGGAATGCAATGATAAGTCTTTTACTTACCCTCAAACTTTGATTTGAGGAAACCATAAACTAAATAAATGAAAACAAACCCACATCAAGCCTTTGTTTCTCTAGCTAACTTCTTATAATATTGAGTACAAAAATGTTAAAACTATAGAACCCCACATAACTGCGAATTTGGCACTTGATGATTCGATGGTTTGATTGGCCTGAACTTTGATATGCGCAATCGATTTTCCACCTTTTCTTTTCCTTTATTAAAATATCCGGAAGGTTATCCTAAAAATAGAAATTGAACCAACCACCATTGCAAAAAGGAACAACCCAAATCGCAAGTAATAAAACTACCAGGAACGTTGTTATTAGGCAACGGACCCCGGATTCCCCGGACCCGTTGCCCCTCTTTCTATACACATTCTGGTTCGAAAACTTGTCAAAAACTGATAGCCCCAAATCTGCTCTACCGTTCCTCTCCCACTTCTATAATTTGCAAAACAATTTTATGTATGCATGCAATGCAAATGAAACCATTTCTATATCGTCTCCGCACCTTTGACTTGTTTTTCTGATATTCTCTCAACCCTCAAATCTCTCCTATCCATCTTTTGGGTCTTTGGTAGTTGGATTACAATATTGTTTTTTGGGTCTTTGTTAGTTAGATTACTATATTGTTTTTTTTTCTTTTCATTTTCTCTGGGATTGGAACGAGAGACGGAGGAGGGGGCACAATGTTTGCAGAGGCTGATAACATTCCAAGAGCCAAGTCAGGAAACATTACGCATTCTGATCCTAACATGTCCATGACTAGTCCTGGGTATGAAGATGATTTGTGCCTTCGTTACAGCAGCGCATCGGCTGCCGGCCCTGCCCTTTATGAAGCAAACAGGATGAGCCTGGAAGCCTCCCCCATGACCATGTCACCATGGAACCAAGCCACTGCTTTCAACAAACCTTCGTGGGTCCCTTTCGACGACGGTAACATTCCAACGAACAGTCTCATCGGCTCACTTACACGCGAAGAAGGCCATATATATTCCTTAGCAGCCACAAAGGATCTCCTTTACACTGGCTCTGATAGCAAGAACATTCGTGTGTGGAAGAATCTTAAAGAATTTACCGGCTTCAAATCAAACAGTGGATTGGTTAAGGCCATTGTGATATCCGGTGAAAAGATTTTTACTGGTCATCAAGATGGGAAGATTCGTGTCTGGAAAATCTCTCCTAAGAACCCTAGTGTTCATAAAAGAGCTGGAACTTTGCCAACTCTCAAAGACATCCTTAAAAGTTCCATTAAACCAAGCAATTACGTGGAAGTGACGCGTAAGCGCTCTTTATGGATCAAACACTCGGATGCTGTCTCTTGTTTGAGCTTGAATGAGGAACAAGGTCTTCTTTACTCTGCTTCATGGGACAGAACCTTTAAAGTTTGGAGAATTTCTGATTCCAAATGTCTTGAATCAATTCATGCACATGACGACGCTGTTAACTCTTTGGTTTCGACCTTGGGTGGAATGGTTTTGACTGGATCAGCAGATGGAACCGTTAAAGTGTGGAATAGGGAACAGCAGCGAAAAGGAACAAAGCATACTTTGGCTCAAACTCTTTTACAACAAGAATGTGCGGTTACAGCGTTAGCAATCGATGCCCCCGGTTCAGTAGTTTACTGTGGCTCCAGTGACGGTCTGGTCAATTTCTGGGAACTTGAAAAGCAATTATCCCATGGGGGGGTCATGAAAGGGCACAAAATGGCGGTCCTTTGCCTTGCCGCTGCAGGGAATTTGGTTTTTAGCGGATCAGCTGATAAGACTATATGTGTTTGGCGAAAGGACGGCAACATCCACACATGCCTTTCGGTGCTGACAGGGCACACGGGGCCTGTGAAGTGCTTGGCTGTGGAAAGGGATCAGGAATCAGGGAACGAGCAGCAGTGGATTGTGTACAGTGGGAGCCTTGATAAGTCCGTGAAGGTATGGAGCGTTTCGGAGCTTGCCCAGGTAGCAGCGATGCAGCAGAATCAGCAGCAGCCGGTTTATGATAAGGAGTCCATCCCATCTGATGGGAGCAATTCTTCCACCAGCAGAGCCAGCCAGAATAGGAGGTAATGATCACAAAGAATTTCGGATCTTCCCTGTTGAGATTCTGATATAATCTTATGATGCCACGTGTACATGTTTTGTAATAAAAAATTTGTTAGGTTTGACTCGTGGAATTGAGGAGGAACAGGGATCTGTGTAGTGTATGTTGGCTGCGGGAATTTGCCTAACACAGGGGGAAGGGATCATTTTGGAATTTTCCTATGGGTATTTATTGTAAACACTAATTGTTGTGGACTTTCAATGAATTGGCTATTTGAAATGGAGACAATTTTCCTAAATAAAATTTCTTTTATTTTATTTGTCTGTCAAATCTTCGAGGAAGATTGCGTATTCATCCAACATAATAGAGACGCATACAAACGAATTTGCCCCAAATGTTCATCAGTGGCCTGAATCAGTGAATCATACAAACCAGTCACCTTTCTTTCTTCCTTAATTTCAATACCTGCCACAAGAAATGACGTGATTCACAAATGAACCAAAGATTCCATATACCGCCACATAAAAGAAGCTAATTCAACGGGGGCAATTAAGTAACTCGGACAATTAATTTGAGAGTAACTGAAGTACCAAACGGGCAATTAAGTTCCAAAGAGTCGTGTTTGGGCTTCTCCAAACGGTGTTATGAGAGTAACTCAAGCATTAACATCTTGCGAACGTGACGCCAGTAGGGGCAAAAGAGTGAAAAATGGGATGAATTGGTTTTTTATCGATAATATGTTCGTAGATTGTTTTTAAAATGTCATGTTATCTCAACCTTCCCTTAACAGGTTTCCCTTAACACAATTTATTGGTGTTAATTTAGTGTGGTTTTCCAATTTGATTTCACTCTCTAGTCTCTACAAATAAATTTCCATAAAGTTAAAGAAACAATTCATATCATCTAAGCTCCCAAATACCAATTACTCAATTATCATTCAAACATCTAGTAAAAAAAAAAAAAAACCATGATAACAGAACTATCACGGAGATTTATAAGTTCGACATCCACAATATCATCTATATGCCCAACTCGTAAGCCAGGAAAATTATTTAGACAAACAAGTATAAATTTATTCGTACAGATGAGGAGGAAGTCGAGGTGTAAGAATGACTTCAAGGGGTGTGGCTTTGAGATTAGTCAAACCCGCTCCCCCAACCATGTCGACTGGCTGATCTAATGGGGTTGTAATTTCAAACGCTTGCAGCAAATTAACAAGGCTGAGTTGTAAAACTTGAACTGCAAAAGAAATTCCAGGACAAATTCTTCGACCGCTACCAAATGGAATCAATTCATAGTTTTGTCCCCTAACGTCAACGTCCTTGTGGGTTGTAAGAAACCTTTCTGGCTGAAACTCGTCTGGATTGGACCACACTTTGGGATCTCGCTGAAGCTTGGAAAGATTTATTAGAAGGCGTGTGCCTGCCGGAATGTAGTAGCCACCGGTGATGCAGTCCTCAATAGATTCATGTGGCACAGACAGAGGGGCAGCTGGGTATAAGCGCATTGTTTCCTCGACGACAGCTTGGAGGTAGACCAAGTTCTTGATGTCTGATTCTTGCACTAGCCTGTCTTTACCAACGTAGGTGTCTAATTCATGTTGGGCCTTTTTCAAGATATCCCGATGGTTAAGAAGTAAGGAGATAGCCCATGTTATCGTGACTGTTGTGGTATCTGTTCCACCTAAAATTATCGCCTGCAAAAATTAATGGCCCAAAAAGTATCAGAATTGAGCTTTATGTTTAGACTTAAATGTTCTTGGAATTTGGATGCGAAATAAAGGGTTCCCAAGTACAGTTTAAAAATCACACGCAAGGCAGGGATCAGTATTTCGGTACCCTGTGATTATGGACCAATTTGTGACCTTAGGCTGAAAACTTATTGATGATTGATTGGCTGATGAATAGGCAAATGATTTATCCAATTTTTTTGGAGTTTTTCATGTAGTTGAATTTCATAATCCAGAACCTATAAATAGTGACTAACAACCTTTTTCTCCTCCTCCTCAAGCTCGTAATTTTCTCATATTTATCTAGATTTTCAGAATTCATAATTGATACCATTTTTCTATTTAATAGCACTCGAAGATTTCAAAAATTTCTAGCATAGAGACTAGTTGAACACTTTATTTAATGTGTAAACTTTTATACATCATTTCCCATATAAATGATGTCACTTTAAATTAATTTTATGTCAAAATCATATCAACTTTATTAAAAGATAAAAAATAAAGAGATTCTTTCTTTTATTAAAATTATTTTAATTTATTTATTTATATTATTTTATATCATAATCATTAACCTCAAAATCACCTATTCATTTATTTTCTATACCTATAAAAATTGCAACTCCTTCCTATCCAGAAGTTTTGGGTGATTAAAGACGGTTCATTTATAAACGGTGTTCAAAGAAAAATATCATGGTTTCCTGTCAGGAAAAATGGGTGGAGGAAAAAAAATTCTATAGGGTTGTGACCAATATCTAATTATATACAGGACAATTATATATATATATATAAAAGAAAAAAATATATTTTATGATGATAATTTTTTAAATATAAAAGAATAAAACTTTAACATGTTAATGAAATCAGAGAAAAGCAATTCAAAGAGATCGAAGTTACCTAACTCTTACGGTTTGATCAAGAAATAAAAGAGAGGTGAAATTTGGCTAAAGTATCAACTCACCATGCAGGTAGCTTTGTTGATTGTATCAGCATCATAACTAGATAAATCTGCAGCATCTACAAGAAGGGACAACATCATGTCCATGAAGTTGTCATGTTCACCATCCATTTTGCCTGATGAATTTATCTTCTGCTTATGCTCCTCTAAGCATTCTTCAAGCAGTTGATCCAGTTCTTTTGCCGTCTTCTTCATGGCCTTCTCATGTCCTCCTAAATCCAGCCACCTTAGGAATGGCAGCGAGTCCGCAACCGTGAACGTCCCGGTCAATTCAAATAAAGCCCTTACGGCTTTCCTGCGTCGCTCATTCTCCTCTTTCCCGTGTGAATTTTCAACCTCTGAGTATCTCTTTCCTATAACCATCTTGAAAACTGTGTTAATGTTCAAGGTCCAAAACGATTTCTTCATCTCCACAACCACCTTCTCTGAACTATTATTATTCCTTCCCCCCTTTACCACTAACTCGTAAAGTTGCTTGATAAATGTTCTAATCTCGGACTCTCGAATATGTTTGAGCTTCTCCAAACGGTGGTTTGAGAGTAACTCAAGCGTCGCTATCTTGCGAACGTGACGCCAGTAGGGACCGTAAGGGCTGAACCCAAACATGGCGTAGTTGTAACCCAGGAGTTCTGCAGCAAGAGATCTTGGACGGTTGACGAATGCTTTATCGTTGGTGGTGAAACACTCTTTAGCAATCTCCCAACTGCTTATTACTAGAGCTGGTTTTATGCCGAGCCTGATGGTGAAGATTGGTCCGTACGTGTCAGCCAAGTCACCCAATGTGATGTAGGCTGGTTTCCGGCCACCTAACAGGTGAAGGTGGCCTAGGAAAGGCCTTGCACCGCTAACTTCTGGAGCTTTTATCTTCTTGCTGAAGCTTTTCTTACTAAAAGCTGATGTAAATAAAAAAAAGAACAAGGCAAAGATGGTAGCTATTGCAATTACAGAGTTTAGAAAGAGGGCTTCCATTGCTAATTAATCTCTTTTTGAGTTCTTGAATTGAAGTCTGAATGAACACTTGATGTCCCTTTAAAGTAACGGATACGCTACAAACTACCTTTGAAAAAGTAACATAATATTTAGAATTATAAAAAATGAGGTCATTTTTCAAAACATCAAATATCATTGCAAGTTCAACAGTGATTACATTTTATTGATGCTTTAGTTTTTTTCTTTTTTCTTTTTTACTCTTTATCTTTTATTTTTAATTATTTTCTTATAATAAAATAGTAATAAAGTTTATGCCAAATTAAGCTTAAAAAATATTGCACTAAATTTCTTGGATGTTACGTAATCAAGCAAATTGGTCCCGATATCAATTTGTTTTGGTTTGGAAGGAATCTTTTTCCGATTGAATTAATCTTTCCAAAAACATATGTGAGGACCAGATGGCTATGCTTTGATGCCAAATTAAGCTTAAAAAATATTGCACTGAATTTCTTGGATGTTACGTAATCAAGCAAATTGGTCCCGATATCAATTTGTTTTGGTTTGGAAGGAATCTTTTTCCGATTGAATTAATCTTTGTTGCACTAAATTTCTTGGATGTTACGTAATCAAGCAAATTGGTCCCGATATCAATTTGTTTTGGTTTGGAAGGAATCTTTTTCCGATTGAATTAATCTTTCCAAAAACATATGTGAGGACCAGATGGCTATGCTTTGTCTGTATCAGTGTAATTTTGAGGCAAATTTTCGGTTAGCATCAAAAGAAAAGCCCAATCGTTACTAGAATATACGTAAATAGTGATAATTTTTTAGCGACGTTTTACTGTTAAACGAAGTTAACTTGTGTTTTGAAAAAAGTAGGAGAGTTTTTAACTTAAACGTTACTAAATTTTTAAACAAGGACGTTTATGCAGAAACGTCACTAAACAATGACATATAACTGTATTTATGTTTATAAAGGCCACAAAATAATTTTCAAAATGATATAAAATATATTTTTTTAATCATTTAGCGGCGTTTTTCAATTAAATGCCACTATTTATAAAGCTTTAGTGACGTTTACATACAAAAAGACGTCGCTAATTAACTTTGATAATTTATTTAAGTTTGGTTTCCCCCCTAAAATCCACTGAACCCTTTTTGTTTACCCACAAACAGGCGGTCAAATACTTACAAACCTAGAAAAAGTACTCGAGATCCCGTTTCTCCGTTGGGTTTCCTTCTTTACCGGTGGCGTTGCCGTTGGGTTTCCTTCTCCGGTGGTGGCTCTTCCGTTCGGTTTCCTTCTCCGTTGGTGGCTTCGCCGTTGGGTTTCCTTCTCCAATGGTTTTATTTCCCGTTCAGTTTCTTTTCTTCGTCAGTAGGTTCAAGCTCGATTTCCTCTCTTTTTTCGCATGTTTCCTTCTCCAGTAAGGGGCCTCTCCTTCTCCTTCTTCAATTTTTGGGCTTTTGATGTAAGATGTGTTTTTTTTAATTATTGCCGATTTTCTGACTTGAAATAGATGTGATGGTTTTACATTTCTACCACTGTTCTTGTAATTTTAATATCCTTGTAATTTTCATGTTCATTTTTTATTTTTTTGTAAAAAAAAATAAAATAAGTAAATTATTAAAATTTTTAAATTAAAATAAAACATATTATATTTAATAATTTAAAATAAATAATTATAGATAGATATTATTTTAACAAATAATTATTAATAAAATTTAAATTTAAAATTTTTTTATTAAAAAATAACTTTAATCAATTAAATTAATTATTTATTAATCATATTTATTTTCAATGTTAATTCTAAAATTATGGTTTTTATTTATTTATTGATTTTATTTATCTTTATGTCCCAATGGGTTGCGAATCAAATCAGTTTAATTAATACAAAAAAAAAAAAAAATTCAAATCGGTTGCATGCAATTCTGAGAGGAACTTATTATGTTTTGAGGGATGCTTTACTTTATTGCACTTTTGAGTTATAAAACAAATTTGTATCATTACAACTATTGAATTAGTTTTTAGTTCAACACTCATCATTCCTTGTGATTTCAATCTTTCTTAAGATTTTGTGTTGACAAATGGTTCACAGCAACTCTTGCTTTCCATCTCTATTTAGTCCTTTACTATTATCCAATATGGATGAAATATATTTACTGCTAATGATAATTAGATAAAAGATAGATTAAGAAAGTTGGCGTTTTCACCTTTTTGGCGTGCGGGTCGATATGTGCTCGTGTCACGAATCGAGAGTCAAATTTTGAATTTGTGCGATTTTGAAATTCGAGCATTCACTCTTTCGACGTCTCAGATCAACCTTTCGTTACGGTTCATATCCTTGTGAGGTATTGTCCGCTCTGATCTTTTGATCTCACAGTTTTATCCTATAAAAGACATCTCACAAGATGGAGATGATGTGAATTTTTTATACCCTAATGACCTTCTTATTATGTTCGATGTGAAATTCAGGACTCTCCTTTAGATCTGTGACATTTTTCTGCATCCAATCTCGTGACGTCCTCGTCACGGAGACTGGTCATCCTGCCTACCTTCATCGAGGTGTTTGACGTGGATCGAACGGTATAAGACTGGCTCTGATATCACTTGTCACGGGTCGAGACTCAAGCTCCGAACCCGCAGACTCCGGGATCTAGGTATTCACCCTTCCGACGTCTCAGATCAACATTCCGTCACGATTCACACTTTTGTGAGGTATTATCCGCTCTGATCCACTTGATTTTACGATTTTATCTTACAAAAGGCACCTCACAAGATAAAAGTGATGTGAATTTTTTTATATTTTAATGATTTTTTTATTATATTTAATATGAGATTTATAATTCTCTTTTAGATCCGTGACAAAAGCTTGTAACTCCCACTTGATGCTCTAACTTGTCATTTGATTTGATATGTGTACTTGGTTGGATAAGTTGGGTTGATTTCAATGACTACTTTATCAAAGTCTTCGTTGCTTTCCGCAAAATAATTATACTTCACCACTCCAAATTTTCTCGACCAGAACTAGAATTTAGAAACTTAATTCCGATGATTTTTGTTATGATTCCCACTTTTCTGGCATGCGAGTTGACATGTGCACGCCTGTGGCTCCCCATTTGATGCTCTAATTTGATTTGATATGTGTACTTGGTTGGATAAGATGGGTTGATTTCAATGACTACTTCTTCAAAGTCTTCGTTGCTTTGCACAAGATAATTGCACTTCACCACTCCAAATTTTCTCGACCAGAACTAGAATTTAGAAACTTTATTTGATGATTTTTGTTATGATTCCCAGTTCATGATACCCCTACCCCTCTCTTTAAAATCATCCTTGGGAAGCTAGAGAGTTTCCTATATCCTTGGAATTCTTTCGTTCATGACACATTTCTCTTCCGATCATATGGCCTTTGTCATGGCTTTTGCTTGTAGGTAGCTAACGATTAAGAGTGTTCTATGATTAAGGATTCTTTTCTTTGCTTTGCTCTGCTCCAGCACCAAAAAATATGTGGCCCTATTTTATTCTCCTGGTTCTATATGACTTTCTCCCATTAAAAAACTACTTTTGTTTATGGCGCACAAACAGGCAAAAATTGAAGGCTGTCTTGCAAGCTTTCAAGGCCGTTAAATGAGTTGATTTTGAGCCAAATTTGAGCTGTATTGGATGACATATAAATACACTTGAACTATTGATTTTACAAGGCAGCAAAAAGAAGGAAAAAGGTTGGTTTAAGTTGCAGTTGTCATGGGCTGTTTACAAGCTGTTTTCGGTTCCATAAAAGCCAAGCAAGTTTCGGTTTTTTTTTTTTTTTTTTTTAAAGGGCTGCATGACAAAGCAAGCTGCAGGAAATTTACCGAGGCAAAATCAATGCTGCATGGAAGTCTACTTTCTACATGGAGACATTACAAATTAAATTTGAATTTCTAAATCTAGGAGGAGGTGGCGTGGTAAGGGATAAGTTTGCCTGGGAATTAATTTACGTTTGTATGAGGGCTGAGACTATATGCCTAAGTCAATCCGAAGTGAGTATGACTTGAAGTCTAAAAGCTTAAGACAACTGGACTCAAAGGTAGAGATCGAGTTCAAGCAAAATTGACAAGACTCGAGCTATTGTCGAGGATTTACACTGAAAAATTAGAGTTGCATTCCACAGAATTCACTCAATATAAAAAAGAATTGCGGATTTATGCGACAATGAGTTGCAACCACAACTTGAGGAATTGATTGAAAGGTATGTTTGTATTAAATGTTTTCCTCCAACAATCATAATCCCATCGTATAAGTATAGTAAGGATTAGGAACCATGTTTCACGTGATACGCTTTATTTTGTTGAAATAACCAAAAGCTTCCACAACGAGTGCAGAAGATGTTTCTTGTATTACGGGCATTGCAATATTTTATTGAAATGTCATATTTCTTAATTTTATTTTTTTTATTATACAAGCTAAACACATTAATCCAAACGATAAAGGTACAACGACAACTTTTAGTAAGTCAAGCACGCCTAGCTATCCTACAATAATAATTTTTTCCATTTCAGGTGGTTGTAAGGTGTAGGGCAGGGCATGCATTTGATTTGATGTCTCTTGGCCCATGTGTCACAGGCTGGGAACTTTGTGCCCTTGTGTGCGGTCCGTGACGTATGTTTGTCAGTTTATCATGTGAAGGTTTTAATAATCGAAGCATTTAAAATTTTTAATTAATATATTAACATAATTTAAAAATAATTATATTAAATTTTATATTACATGCATATAAATTAAATTATATATTTAAATATTTTATTATATATAATATTTAATTTATAAATTTAAATTTATTTAAAATTTTAATTATTTTTTATTTAATTATAATAATAAATATTTATTTATTTTACTTTTCTAAATCCATTTGATGATCTTAAGAAAAAAAAATTCTTTTTAAACTTTGAGCCAGGCCTCATAACAATATAAAATTCGAATTCCACATAATTCATCCTAATAATTGTTAAATGTGTACATAAATATAATAATAATTCTAAGTTATATGATTTGTACCCTCCCTCTCTCTTTCTTGATTTGAATTCAAAAGCTTTAATACTTGGGTTAATTTTTCCATCAAAGCCCATAGGATTCAAGATGACAACAGCATCATCAACTCTTCAATCCACCTGGCAAGTTTTTGTTTGTCTTGATTTTAATTTTTTGGGTTTTCCCTTGAACATGTTGGGTGCGCAGCTTGTTTCCAGATTTGGGACTATTGCACATAATATATATATATATATATATATATATATAAAAAAATTCTCTTTTGGTTCATTTGAGCTGATCTCGACTTTTGTATTTGATGGCTCTTTGCAATAGCTTGTGATTTGGTTTTATTTCAATTTTCAATTTTTTATATTTGGTTGTATTTTATTTAAATTTTTAGCATTTTTGTATTTATTTTTTAAAAGAAAATGGAAATTTTATATATTATTTATTTATTAATTAAAAGTTGTTACACATGAACCTAAAATGAGCGGGCCTTGGTCTTGATCTATATATATTCAATTAGGGTCAAGCTTGGAAAAAATTTGAAATCCGTATTTTTAGATCGGATCAAGATTAAATAAGTATAGATTATGTTTGATTTATAAAATAATAATGATTTTATATTATAATTAATTTGTATCTAAATAAAAGATAAAATTGTAGGGAGGAGTGATTCATAAGATGATTTAATTATCTTAAAGTGAAAAAAATTATTTTTAATCTATATAATTGAATTTAAATATTTTATTATATCTTTAAAAATTACATTAATAATTTAAAATATATAAATTTTAAAAATATATAATTTTGATCAATAAATAAATTATCATATCATAATTTTTACATATATTAAACACAAAATAATATAATGTTATTTAATTTAATATTATTTATAATAATATTTTATTCTATTCTATTATAATTTTATATACTGAACATATCTATAATGTGTATTAATAAACTAATAAAGATCAGTTGAAAAGATTCAATCTAATGGTCCATTTCAACTTATTTGAAAAAACTGTCATTTTTTTTATTGTTGAAAATGTTTTAGTTTCGTCACTAGGTTGATAGTAGAGTGTTCAATTATGAATATATTTGGAAGGTTTCAAATTAAAATAATAAATTTATATTTAATATATTATTAGTGTATAATGTTATATATTATTGTAAATTACATAATGATATTTTATTAAAAATATTAATTTTAAACATATTTATATGATTAAATATATCTATTTTTTATAAAATTTTGAAAATTTGAAATTAATTTTTTTAGAAGATTTCATCGTCTGATTTATGAGAATGTATAGCAAGATACCATATATTACTCATGTATCAAATATAAACTTTAAAATAATTTAATTTTCTTAAACAATAAAAATTTCGGAGGATTAGCTTGGAAACAAATAAAAATATTGAAAAATTATTTTGAGATATTTTATTTCTCTTTGAATGATTTTGTTTTGTCAGCGCCTTTCTAGACTCGTTCGCTTGATATTCTAGTAATTACATAATTTGATAAAATCTTTCATCAATTTGTTTTAATCGACGTCTTGGCTGTAACTTCGATGTTGATATTACGAGACAAGAGCTCTAAAAAAAAAAATCAACCAATCAGTAATTACATAATTTGATAAAATCTTTCATCAATTTGTTCTAATCAACGTCTTGGCTGTAACTTCGATGTTGATAATGCGAGACAAGAACCCAAAAAAAAAAAATCAACCAATCAATAATTACATAATTTGATAAAATCTTTCATCAATTTGTTCTCATCGACGTCTTGGCTGTAACTTCGATGTTGATATTGCGAGACAAGAACCAAAAAAAAAAAAAAATCAACCAATCAGTAATTACATAATTTGATAAAATCTTTCATCAATTTGTGTTCTTAATCGACGTCTTTGGCTTGTAAACTTCGATGTTGATATTGCGAGACAAGAACCAAAACAGAAAAAAAAAAAATCAACACTCAGTAATTACAATAATTTGATAAAATCTTCATCAATTTGTTCTAATCGACGTATTGGCTATAATGTTGATATTGCGAGACAAAAACCCAAAAAAAAAAAAATCAACCAATCAGTAATTACATAATTTGATAAAATCTTTCATCAATTTGTTCTAATCGACGTCTTGGCTGTAACTTCGATGTTGATATTACGAGACAAGAGCTCTAAAAAAAAAATCAACCAATCAGTAATTACATAATTTGATAAAATCTTTTATCAATTTGTTCTAATAGACATTTTGACTGTAATTTCGATGTTGATATTGCGGGACAAGAACCAAAAAAAAAAAAAAAAATCAACCAATCAGTGTAGTGATTATTTTAAAAAAAAATCTACTTTTTATTTTCATATAAATAAAGTCACACGCCACTGTACTACAGCAATCCTATATTTACACGTCGAATATCACTTAAATTAAAAACTTTAGTCAATGAACACTATTGATATTTGAATCCAAAAATCTTATGATTAATAATTGTTATGCCTAGTGTCCGTGTAATATTTTTATTTGTTGCATTTCATTTATTTGGAAAGACTCAAAGTTGATCAAAATCACAAAAGTACCTGCTTTGGCATTTAATTACATTAAAAATGTTATTGATGTTGTCAGGATTTAACATTAATTATTGAAATAAAAAATATAGATTTATTCTATTAACATATAATAAAACTTTTAAAAAAATTCATTTTTTAATAAAAAATATACATTAATTTAAAGATAATTAAGATAAGTAACAACTGAAACTTGTTTAATATTCAAAACCACTAATGATTGGGCGTGCCAAAGAAATAGAACGCCCACAAAAGGCAGATCGCTCTAGCTAGATAACTTCGAAATATAATAAAATTAAGTTGAAATTAATCCTATTTTATTAAGATTTCAAACTTAATTAGCTCATAGTCTCGAAATCAAAAGCAGGAAGACGTGGAGTGACGAGGACTTCGAGTGGAGTAGCTTTGGAAAGTGTCAATGCTGGTCCCTGGCGCATATCAATCGGTTCATCTAACGGGGTTGCAAAATCGAACCAGTAGAGCAAATTAGCAAGTGTAAGCTGTAACACTTGGAGTGCAAAAGAAACCCCAGGGCACATTCTTCTTCCGCTGCTAAATGGTAACAACTCGAAATTTTGTCCTTTAACATCGACATGTCTGTGGGTAGTCAAGAATCGTTCGGGTCTAAACTCGTCAGGGTCGGACCATATTCGTGGGTTGCGATGAACCTTATAAAGATTGGTGATCAGCCATGTGCCTGCCGGCACTTGGTAACCACTCACAGTGCAATCTTCGGTGGCTTCATGAATCAATGAAAGTGGTGCGGCAGGGTATAAACGCAGCGTTTCCTTGATGATTGCTTGAAGGTATACTAAATTTTGCATGTCAGTTTCTTTCACTAGCCTATTTTTACTCACATGGATGTCTAGTTCATTTCTTACCTTGTTTAGTGCATCAGGATTGTTAAGTAACAAAGATAAAACCCACGTCAATGTAACTGCTGTGGTATCTTCGGCTGCCAAAACCAGAGCCTGCAAAATCAGCCAAAACAACTTTTTAACATTTTCCATAAGTAATCTAAATCTAACATCAATCATACTATAATTAAGTAAACTCTACCAGACAGGTGGCTTTGTTGCTGGTATCTGCATGGTGCTCGTCCAAATCCTTGAGGTTAGAAAGCATCACATCCATGAAATCTTCCCCAACCTTGTACTCTCCTGACGCTTTCTTGCGCTTGTGCTCTTCTAGCCATCCCTCAGCATACCGGTCTAGTTCTTTCCCTACCTTCTTCATTTCCCTCTCGTCTCCTCCTATGTCCAACCATCTCAGAAACGGCAACGCATCTGATACCACGAATTTCCCACTTAATTCAGTGAAGTCCTTCAAGGCCTTTTTCAATATCTTACTCTCTGCATCATTATCGAAACTCGGAATTCGCTTCCCTATAATCATCCTTAGAATCACGTTAAGGGTTAAATCCCAAAACCATCTCTTCATCTCTACCAACACCTTATCAGAGCTAATGTTTTTGCTTTTGTTCCATTGCTGATATAACTCTTGCAGGGATAACTTTATCTCCGATTCTCGAACGTGCTTGAGCATATCAAGGCGGTTGTTAGAAAGGAGTTCAGAAGTGGCGAACTTGCGCATTTCTCGCCAATAAGGCCCATATGGGGCGAAACCAATCATGGAGTTGTTATAGCACATGAGTCTCGAGGCAGTAAGATTTGGACGAGTGGCAAAAGCTTTGTCGTTGGTGGCAAGACACTCTCTAACAGTTTCACAATTACTTACCACCAAAGCTCTACGCACACCGAGCTTAATAGTAAATATTGGTCCATATTTGTCTGCCATGTTGGCCAGGCTAAGGTGAATTGGTTGTGGACCTCCTAGAAGGTGGAGATGGCCGATTACGGGCCATGAGCCCCCAGCCTCTGGTGCTTTTGGCTTTCGGTTTGGGACTATTTTTGAAACCCATAGAAGGCAGAGAATACAGAGCGGAAAGGTAAACACTACTACAGTAGTTGAAGTTACCGGGAATGAATTAAAAAGATCCATTGTTGGTTTTCTACTTAAGGTATGAGCAACAGAGATTTGGAGCCAAATATATAGCAAATCCATTCTCTCTCTCCCCCTTGAGATATAGAACTCGATCCAAGGAAGATGTAGTGAATAGTAAAAAAAAATAATTTCTTTTAAGAATGTGTATGTCAAGAATGAAAAAAATGTGCAGCTGGCATTAGCATGTTGACATTTCGGCTCAAACTAGATTTTGGTCTTTAATTATTGGTGTTGCTCATATGACTTTTTTTCTCATAAAAAATATAGTATTTGTCACCGTACGCTTTCGTTTTGATTGGCTGAATTTGTTTTTTTTTCCCCGAATTTGCAGCAGTAGTTTATCTTTATGGGAAATAGATTCAATTGGGGTAGGGACTATCAGGCATTAAGGACAAAGACTCAATTATCATAGTGCTATTTATATAATACAAGGCTCTAGAAGGTTGCGTTTTTTTTTTTTTAATTTTTTAAAATATCTAAATGCTTAAAAGACTATTTTATCCCTTCCTTTGTGTCAATGAACAAATGACAAATGACACGAAGTTGATTATCTTGCTAAACGGTGATTAAATAATGCAAATCGGGAGGTTACTTTCTATTTATAGATATGAAAAACACCCATAATTGGAAAGGAGAAAACTGAAACAATCTATATTTATTACAAGAATTTATTAAAATCAACGTACAATTGTGTTAATCTTTATTATTATTGAAAAGACATTCATTTTGATTTGTTTATTAAGCTGTCCGTCGTTATTGCATGCAAATTGGGCTTGTTTTCTAGATTTTACTTTCTTAAATGGTTGGGCTATGCTAGAGCCTGGATGGCCGCCTGTCCCATCTGCCTGACTTGGAAAGATCCATGTCCCAGAAATTTCTGCCCACCAAAAAATGAAAATTTCAATTTAGGGTGATAAAGTAAAATTAGTTATTATTAAAAACTCTACATATTGTATATAGAAAACGAATCCTAAAAAGAATATTGGCCCAAAAAAATAAAAAAAGAGTATGTACTTTCAATTTAATTTGTTAAAATTAGTAAAATTTATATTAGAACATATATCTTTTAATTAATTGTATAGAATTAATTAAAAAAAATTGTAAATACTTTTTTTTTAATTTTAAAAGTTAACTAAGAATAAATAATGAATCGATTCGTTTTTTAAAATTTAATAATGACTTAATCAATTCCACTTAAAATATTAATTGAAATTGACTTATTTTAAAACCAAAATTCTATTGTATAAGAGGTTGAAATTTTGGAATGGATAGAGTTTGTGACTGACTTGTTGGATGAAAATGGTTTCAAGAAGTTTATTATGGTTATTTAGGGAATATGGAAGGCTAGAATTGAGGAATACAAAAATAGCAAAAAGCAGGATGTAAGAGTGTTGATAGTTGTCATAACGTCTAGATTCGAAGATTCATTGTTAGACTTGACTTAAAAGAGCCGTCACCAATCTTTTTTATTTATGTGCGATTAATCACCTAAAAAATTTATCATTTCAGGGATAACTTAAGTTTAAGGATCCCTAAAAGAATAGGTTCAGGTCTACTAACTAGAACAGGGTTCGAGAGTTCGATTACGTGCGAAGAAAATTATAGCACCCTCACAACGTCTATCGAAAGATGGTACCAGCTTAATTTTATGTTATCCAATAAACATTAAAAATTTACCAAGTAATTAATTATTAAAAATTATTCTCAATTGACTTTAATATTTTTAGCAAAAAATTAAAAAAATTCCTTCACCTCAAGAGTATACAAGAAAACTATTGTTTCACTTATAGAAGCTCAATCGTCAGATTATTTAATATTAAAAAAAATCAAGAAAATAAAAAAAAATGATTGCTTTTGTACAAAAAATTAATACTTTCAACTTTTTTTCAAAATATATTTTTAAAAACTTTAATTTCGAGAAAAATTGATACTTTCAACTTTTCCTCAAAAATTCATTTTTGAAAACTTATTTTTAAGGAAAATTGATACTTTCAGCTTTTCTCAAAAAAATTTTTTTGAAAAACTTATTTTCAAGAAAAATTGATACTTTCAACTTTTCCTCAAAAATATTTTTTTTTGAAATTTTATTTTCAAGAAAAATTGATACTTTCAACTTTTCTTCAAAAATATTTTTTTTGAAATTTTATTTTCAAAGAAAATTAATACTTTCAACTTTTTCTCAAAAATATTTCTTTTTGAAAAATTTTTATTTTTTGCAAAAAAAAAAAAAACTCCTAAAAATAACTAACACATAAAAAATAAATAAATAAATAAACAAATGAATAAAATACCAAAAAAAAGAATAACTCGGCTTGAGGAATTCGACGTGGCTCCAGGCACAAAGGACAGCTTGAGATGTAAAAAGTGATTTAATAATTCGGCTTAGAAACAAAGACAATAGAACATTACAGCTGGTTGATCCACAATGCTCTACAGCCACCAAAGGATGGAGCAATGTATGGTATCTTCAATGCATCAACAAATTTGATAGTGGTCATCACATCTCCATCCACCTCAAAACTGACCACACCACCAAAGCCTGTCATTTGCTGCTTGGCAATTCCATGTTTAGGATGACTTGGCAAGCCTGGATAATAGACACGTCTCACCTTAGGATGTGCCTCTAAAACTTTGGCCATCCTTAATGCTGTCAAATTTTATTACTGTATACGAGATGCAGTGTCTTCATGCCTCTGATGATCAGATATACAGCATTCGAGTTGAAAATACCTCTCAAAATATGATGCAAAGTATGAATTTCAGCAACTAACTTCTCAGAACCACTTATGCAACCAGCAAGAACATCATTGAGGCCTTCAATCTGTACGTTACGATTGTCAATACAACTTTCTACAACTGCCACCTCATCAGCGAAGGAGACATCGATGGCAGTTGCCTGAGCAACAACCACCGTCGAGAATGGTAAATCCGAAGCGGGATCGTTCGATCACGAAATAGTAACTACTTGCACGACACCGATGTTACTACAGTTACAACGAGTTTTGATGCTGAGCTGGCACACGAAGTCAGGCGAGAAACGAAACATCAGAGACAATAAACTCCCGCCATTGATTTCTCCTCCAACACAAAACAATAATGTTGTCACCCGTCGTGTCAACCCAACACGAGGCTTGTCTCCTATCGGTGCGTCAGAAAAGTCGGGATCTAAACGGTACTCGAATGGAGAATAAATTTGATTTCTGTGATTTTTTTCGTGTGTCTTTTTTTTGTGCTATTGTGTATTTTTTAGTGTAATTCGAGAGCCCTCTCCCTCTGTAATCTTTGTGCTAGTTTTTTATTACTTGCTTCAGGATTCTTTTCAAAAGTCAAAAGATGTTTCAGCAAGACATGTAGTATATGGAGCGACTATAAGTAATAACTACATTTTTAACACTACAAAGATCAAACAACGACTCAAATAGAGCCTTCAATCACAACATTCCACTATTGATCTCAGTCATAGAAGAGTAGAAACAAGATACTTTTACAGCTTCATAACTAAGAATAGGATGCACAAAACTCTACAAAGTCTTATCGAAAAAAGCTCTTGAATACCAGCGGTTCTATTGTTTTGAAAGGTGAGCTCATATTAATGAACCCAAACAGGACGTCAATATCTATGGAATAAACTGCAAACAACTTGGCAATCAAATTTTTTCTAAACTTTTGGTCATTTGGTAAATCTCAGATGCCATGTAACTTCTTAGAAAGATCAAGACAAGCACTTAGATATGTCTGAACTCTAATTTTCTTACAACTTGACTTGGCTATGTTCATGCCAACTTGATCATCAAAAGCTTTTACATTTGAAAATTCTTGGATAACCTCATGATGAGCTGTAACAGGGATTTCATGTTCTAAGTTTACAATCCTTGACCCATGAAAATTAGCAACATTCACCTTATTCTTTGAATCCATAAATGCAAGCTGATCCTCCTTATTTCTTTCCTTCTTAAGCTGTGAACACTCTCATTCCAAGTCCTCTTGTTGTTTTGAAACGTGTCCCAGTTCCTTCTTTAAGCACTCAATCTTGAGATTCTTAGCGTTTTAAAAATCGTGAACTAGCCGTACATGAGTCGAAAGAGTAACGCATTTAGCAAAAATGCCATTAGAATTCAAGGCCCCACCAAAGTCGATGGTTATTTGAAAAAGTTCTCTGTGAGACGAGTAACTAAGGGAATCAGTGTAAGATGACGATAAAAATGTAGGTGTTGATGATGTGACGATGTTGGTGGTGGTGGTCGTGGTAAATGTGGTAAATAAAAAAAAAAAGAGGCCTGTTTTGGTTAGCAGAAGAACAAAAAAGAGTGATTTTTTCAACTTGGATAAGTTCCTCCAGGAAACTCACATCCCATTCTTCCAAATTTTCTTTTGCTCATACCCTTTTTTTCTTGGTTTCTGTTTGGTTTTTTTCTTTGGTCCCATTCTCCCTCGGTCTCCTGTTGCTGTTGCCGTTTATAGGACCAGATCAGAAGAATTTTTTTATCAGATCAAAGTCTTCATTCGACTGGGTTATCAAAAACTTAAGACTTATCCTACCTCATATTAAAACTTATAGGAACTCTACAACCTCCAATTTAGGACCAAAGATATATTTTTTTATTTTTTATCACTAAATCTTGTTAAACTAATGATAAATCTAATAAAATAGATAAATCAAACTAAAAAAATTAAAGAAAAATAAAAAAAATAAAAATAAAGGCCAATTGGGCTTGCTAGTTGGATCCTAAACCTGGTTCAATGGGCTTAGACCCAAACCCTATTGGATCAAGCCCGATGGGCTTGGATCCGGACTAAATAGGGTGTCTACAATAGTTTAAAATATGGTACATCCCACATTAGATAAAAAAAGTTAATTATTGATGAATAAAATTAATTTTATTTATATTTTAAATAATTATGTTTGAATAGAAACAATTATCATATAACAAATGATCATAACTATTTGAATATAAATAAATTATTATTCATAAAAATCATGATTATATAAAAGGTTATAACTATCTTAATAGAAGTTTATATTTGTTCATTTATTATAAATAAACATCTCAGTATAACCATTTTCATTACCACATGAGATATAAAGATTTAATTATTGATAAATAAAATTAATTTTTGTATTAATTTTATTCATATTTTAAATAATTATGTTCGAACAAAAATAATTATTATATGACAAATAATCATAACTATTTGAATACAATAAATTATTATTCATAAAGGTCATGACTATACAAAAGGTCATGACCATCTGAATAGAAGTTTATATATGTTCATTTATTATAAATAAATCTTTCAGTATAATCATTTTTACTACTTCTGATTAGAGAGTTTGAAACTTTGTTATATCTTAAAG